TTTTTGGTTATTGTGAATAAACAGTGTAAAAATACAGTCATGTTGGTACAGACAGTCATTTACAGTACTGCTGTTTTGTTAGTTTATTTTGTGATTTCGTGAAGTCTTTGAAATACTACAGTATAACAAAAATAAACTTCAATTTCTTCGCAATAACTCTATAATTTCATTGGGTTAACATGCAAATTACAGCATTTCTCTTGTGTAAATGTAGAAAGTACATATATTCAAATTTTGTTCTATTTTTATATTATATATTATTTTTTATATTATATTTTTATCAACAATTATATTAAAGTTTTATTGTATTTTTTTTTACTGTTCAGTCTATTCGTCCTCCGACCTTTGTTGCTGCAACACGACAATTAACCCAGATACTCATATTTCATTATTATTAAAGAAAAGTAATTAATGTTTTTTTACTGTTCAGTCTATTCGTCCTTCAACATTTGTTGCTGCAACATGACAAGTAACCCAGATACAGTATATGCAATGACATACGTAGCATTTTCATGTTGCATTGCACTTGTAATGATATTTTAAGTTTAGTTGCTTTGTAAAGAAAATTCAGTCATCTTTAGACCAAATATTTTTGGTCTCCTTTTCTAAACCTAAACCAACATTTCTCAATCAAAATCATTAGATTAATGGGGGAAAAAAAAGACAAAAACAGATGTAAACAAATGTTTGCGAAATAAAGCTAAAGGATCAGAATGCCATTTTAAAGCATTGTTTTTTAGTTTAGCAGCAGCAGCTACAGATATGTGAAGAGTAATTACAGCTGAGGCTTGTCTTATTCATTGGTCGGATCATTATTATTTCATCATTCTGGTTGGCTGTAAATAAATCACAATTAAATCTGAGGCCACATAAAATTTTTATCCAGCCACATAAATGCTCTGGCTGCTGGACTGGACACCAACCTGCTCAAAATAGACGGAAAGACAAATCAGCACATGAATCACTCCAGACGCAGCTGAAATGAGTTGAACTTTTATTTTAAATCTCTAAAGTTGGAAACTCACTGCGGTTTATACAGTGTGATGTGAATATGTGAAGGAAGACGGTTGAAGGAATGAATTATTTCTGTGTCATAAAAGCAGGAAATGTAAATTTAAATAAAACATTTAACCTTGTTACATGAAGAAAAAAAACGTAATTTAAAAATAAATAAATAAATAAAAAACATGCCCGTACACAGTCAGGTTTATTAATATTTTTTCCTCTGCTCCTCTGAGAGGCTTAAAAATAATTTCCACAGAAGAAAAAATATTCAGGAAATAAATCATAGCTGTAATACAAGGTCTCTCTCTCTCTCTCTCTCTCTCTCTCTCTCTCACTCTCTCTCTCTCGCTCTGTCTCTGGCAGTGCACCCCCAGAGGTGGGTGTCTCGGTGCCACCCTGAAGCCTCCCCGGTCCCGGGCGGCCCCAGGTCTGACCTTGCCCGTTGGTGGGGGACGTCTCCCATTACAGCGGAGCGTTGTGATAAGGCCATTTCTTTTCCTTCAGCATCCCTTTAATGTCATCCCTGAAATATGAAGTCATTAAGCGATATTAAAACAGTGCTGACAAACTAATTAACAGAAGACATTATACGGGGATGGGCTCGATTAATCCGCTTTAATTGCTCTTTTAAATGGGGGCTCCAATTAAAATTAATAAAGATTTACTAGTGATCTGACTAAACTACACCAAGAAGTGGTTGTCTGAAGGGCAGCCTAAAGTCAGCGGCCTCCCCTTCTCAAGTTGCTCTCCCTCCGGCTCCCACAGCCCTCCCAGATTAAACCCTAACCCCGGTGCTGGTATCTGAGCCCGGAGATTAAACCCAGGCGCTGTCCCAGTGTCCCCCCAGTCTC